GTATCTGCCTCACAAAGGAAAACCCCTGAGTTTAGACCCTGTATTGCCAAAATAAAATAACTACCCTTCCAGAAAAGTGTTAGGAGAAGATCACTGGTGTCCCATAAGATGACAGAGTTTCATGTGTCACAGAAACTTGAGATGGCAGCACAAAAAAGGGCTATGAGGCATCTGGTAGCAAGGATAGCAGAAGATCCTCGGCCACCTTAATTACCATCACAATCACCTACACAGGACAATCCCACAGTTATTACACGCCTTGAGTTCAGTTTGAAGAGTTGCTCAGACTCCATGCAGCAGGAATGGAATGCATGTGTCTCTTCTTTACCAACGACCCAAGCTGCTCTATCACAAAACCATCTTCAACACAAAGCTGCTGCTAATGTGTATCCTGATGGAGAGGTCAGTGTCCAGTACATCATCCCTCCATCCTTGAGGACCTGCTGTCATTCTACCATGCTGACATAGAAGGGTGGAATTCCCAGATAGACCCTGTGCTATGATCATGCTTCTAGTTCCCAAACCCAAATGAAGTGCCTTTCATTCCAAGGAACAAGTGGCCAAGATCAAAGTAAGACTTCCCTCATGTCCAGGGGACTGACATGCACCAGGGACAAAGAACTAGCGTGCGTAACAAACTCAGAAATATTATCCACACCACAGGGGGCCCACAAGCACCAAGAAAAGAAAATTACATGTCAATAACAGTCATGAATGCAAACAGATTAAACTCCCTGATTAACTGAAATTGACTGGGTAGAATAATTTTCCAAAACAAGATTCAACCATATACTGCCTAGAAGACATTTTTTTCACCAGTGAAATACACATGTATACTGAATAGAATGTATACTGGATAGAAAAATGCATTCAAGCTAGGCACCAGTGGCTCATGCTTATAATCCTGGCTACTCAAGAGGCTGAGATCTGAGGATCATGGTTCAAAGCCAGCCCAGGCAGGAAAGTCTGTGAGACTCTTATCTCCAATTAACCACCAGAAAGCCAGAAGTGGCTCTGTGGCTCAAAGTGGTAGAATGCTAGCCTTGAGCCAAAAAGAGCTCAAGGACATTGTCCAGGCCTTGAGTTCAAGCCCCACAACAAACAAAAAAAGTACATTCTATAAGCACAGAAACCAAAAGTGAGCAAGAGTAACTATATCTGTGGCAGATAAAATATACTATGCTAAAAGGAAAATAGACACAAAGCAGATCACTAAATAACAGTAAAAGGCTAAAATCCACAAGAGATCTAACTCTTGTAAATGCATGCACCCAACAGTATCCAAATGTACAAGTACATTTGAGAGAAGAATCTAGTAAAATAATAGTTGAAGACTTCAAAACCCCACTTTCAACAATAAAGAGATCATCCAAAAAAAAAACATATAAAGAAACAGGAAAGCTAAACTACACTATAAACTAACTGGATCTAAAAGACATTTGCAAAACATTGTGTCCAGCAACAGAACACATATTCTTCTCATCAGCACATGGAACAACCTTGAGAATAAATAAATAGACCATATGTTAGAACTCAAAACAGTTTCAACATGCTTTGAAAAAAATTGAATACCATGTATCTTCTCTGACCACAATAAAATAAACCTAAAATCAACAGGAGTAACTTTAGAAGATAGACAAATACATAGAGCCATATTTCTGCACATCCAATGGGATGCAAACATGGCTCACTATATCCTGATTAATAAATATGATATACTAAATCAATACAATAAGCATAAAACAATATAGCCATACCAACAGAAGCAGAAAAACATTTTGATAAAATTCAAGAGCATATCATGATAAAATAGTCTTTCGGGTAAACCAGATATAGTAGTTGTAGAACAAACCTGGAATTATGTAAAGTATGTATATATATATATATATATATATATATATTTGCATTTTCCTTCTCTTCTTGTCTAATTAAAATTTCCCAGTTATAATGAGTAAGTCAGGTAACAAACATAAAATGAAAGATGTGATTTCTTATGACTGTCTTATAGGTTTAACCTCAGTTTAGATAGTCTAGCCACCTAGCTACTCAAGTGGATAAGATCTGAGAATTATGAATTGAAGCCACTACTAGCAGACAAATCCTCAAGACTCATATCTCCAATTAAGCAGCAAAATTCAAAAACTGGAGGTGTGGCTCAAGTGGTAGAGAGCCAGCTGAGCAAAAAAAAACTGAATGAGAACTCAGGAGCCTGAATTCAAGCCACAATACTGGCACCAAAAACAAAATAAAAGTACCCAAAATCATGTTTTATTTTACAATCAGGTTTTTTTTCTATAGTCCCTACTGCTCTACACTCTAGTCTCCAAGGACACTGTCTCCAAAGAAGCTAAAGGTAGCACACTTATACACCTGTTTAACCTCAGATTTGGTTACTAGGAAGATTCATTAATGACTATGTATGGGTCACTGGGGACAATGTTTATACCCAGTTATCAAATAAGGCAAATGTTGAGCAAGATGCAGTGATGTGCTCATTGTTCTGAGAAGTAAGAGAAACAGCTATCCTGAACTGGAGAAGGTTCCTGGCACTTTACATCCGTCATATGATACTACCCTTTCTTTTCCTTTTTTACTTTTACTTTTTGGAGGGGGAGTGGTGATGGAGAGTAACAGTGGTGCAGCCAAGATGCCCCCAAAACCAGCAGAAGATGGATATCCTGAGATGTCTGTATGTCTTAAGAGTTGCCATGAATTTGACGGTGAATTCATAGCCAATGTGGCCAAAAGTTCACAGGGAAATCCACATTCTCCATGGCCATTCTCAATTTATGAATTTTAATATTTCAAGTTTCAACCTCCAGTAGAAAATATAATTGGCAATCCTAATAGTAAGTTCAATAAGTCATTTCTCATTTTTATGCTTACTTCCATGTAATCTAAGTTTCAATTATGCTCTGGAAGAAAAAAAATATTATACCTTAAAACAGGAAATGGAAGTGTTCATTTGTATATTCTGTAAATTTTTTTTGATATACACAGTTCATTTAGAAAGATTTTTATATGCAAGAAAATGGTGGCACTTAAATGTTAAAATGTGAGTATTGTCCAAAAGTACGTTACCTACATTGTCAATCTCACATCAAAATATATATATGCATATAATTAGCAGTCCATATGTTCCCCTAAAAAACTGACAAATTGACAGAAGTGACATCCCTCATTAACAATGTCTGTCCTCATTTCAAACATATAGTTTGAAGCACACTTTTAATCATATTTAGAGTATTGACTAATATCTGGTGGTAATAGAGTTGATTAAATTGATTCTGTGATGTAATCTCTGTTACCTGAGAGATTAGAAGACAGGATTGTAGAAGATATTATGCCAAAATATCACACAAAGAGAAGTTATTTTTTCTAATCTGTGCTATGCAGATAACAAAGTAAAGAAAACTAGTATCTCTAAAAGCAAAAGTAATAAAAGACATTTAATGATAGGTTCAAAGTTCAGAAAATTTAAGTAAAATTAATATCAAAACATTTTGTGTGTGGGAGTACCGATCCTGGGCTTCAACTCAGGGCCTGAGCACTTTCTCTGAGTTTTTTTTTTTTATTCAAGGCTTAACACTACCACTTGAGCAACAGCTCTGCTTCCAGCTTTTTGTTGGATAGTTGGAGATAAGAGTCTCACTAGCCAGGTGCCAGTGGCTCAGGTTTATAATCTTAGCTACTCAGGAGGCTGAGGTCTCAGGCAGTTGAAAGCCTGGGCAGGAAAGTCTGTGAGATTTTTATCTCCAATTAACCACCAGAAAACACAAAGCAAAGCTGTGGCTCAAGGTTGTAGAGTGTTAGCTTTGAGCACAAAAGCTCAGGGACACACCCCAGACCCCAGACCCTAAGTTTAAGTGCCATGACTGACAAGAAGGAAAAAAAGGAGTCTTACAGAATTTCTTGTCCTGTTGGTTTCAAAAAAAGGAGTCTTACAGAATTTCTTGTCCTGTTGGTTTCAAACTAAGACCCTCAGACCTTAGCCTCCTAAAGCAGCTAGGATTTCAGGCAAGAGCCACTCATTGGCTCTCAGCAGCCCCAAATTTGATTAATGGTGTTTGCTTGTGTCGATGTCTTTGACTATGTCATAATTATGACCATAATTTCTATTCTGTCTTTATTCAGATTTGTCGTTTTTCATATTCTAGTGCTAGGTCAAGATTGTTTCACACAGCCAAAATTATTACCATAGGATATATTAGGGGAAGGAGAAAAGAAAACTGTAACAAACAGGCAAAAGAGCCTGAAGCTATTTATCAGAATATTTCATGATACCATGAACGTATACTACATGTAGTATATCAGGCATTAAAGTATTCTGTATTGTACACCATCATGAATTGGAAGTAATTTCTTAAGGACCGAAGAGGCAGGCAATATCAGGAGAGGACCAAGGAAACTTGTGTTTGTATGTATGTGATCATGCATGTTAGTTTGGCAGTGGGTGCCCCAGAGAGAAAACACACAAATGCAATGAACAAAAATGTAAACGTGTTTAATGGTTGAGCTAAAAAAGAGATTCTTAGGTGATTATAGTGTGCATCATGATACCAAGTTGTGTGACTTCTATCAGCATCTTAAAACAGGTCAAACAAATGCATCAGAGGATCTTATTAAGTACTTCTTATTATCCTTAAGTAGCTGTTCAAAAGTGTTTAATCAGTTTGTAAAGACAATGCATGTTGATCAGTGTCACCCATTTTGCCATTCTCTCCCATCTCTCCAACCCGACCCATCCCCACCAGTTACCTAGTTCTGTTTTCACATATATACATTAAATATTATGACTGCATTCACACACTCTTCCTCATCAGAGAATTCTTGAGTCAAAAAAAATATATATCTATGTTTGCATAGCATCTTTACAGACCCACAGACACTTGGAAGGAATCCTTGGAGTATGCATTTAAATTAAAAAAAAAAAAAGAAATCTGAGTGGTCTAGGAAAAATTGTTCATCTCTAACAAAACATTTCTGAATGTTATATACAGATGTACCAGAAGTCAAAATCAGCAATGAGGAACAATACAGTAATAACTTTCATTCTGCTGGGACTGACAGATGACCAACGGCTGCAGGTGCTGGTATTTATCTTTCTCTTCCTCGCGTACACATTGAGTGTCACTGGGAATCTGACTATTATCTCCCTTACCTTAGTCCATTCTCAGCTGAGAACAGCCATGTACTATTTCCTACAGAACTTTGCTTTCTTGGAGATCTCATTTACATCAGCTAGCATTCCAAGATATTTGTATAACATAGCCACAGGTGACAAGATGATTACTTACAATGCCTGTGCCACCCAAGTCTTTTTTACTGACCTCTTTGGTATAACAGAATTTTTTCTTCTGGCAGCCATGTCCTATGACCGCTATGTGGCCATCTGCAGGCCCCTGCATTATGTGACCATCATGAATAGCACAGTGTGCAGAAGACTTGTCTTCTGTTGTTGGTTAGCTGGTTTGTTGATCATAATCCCTCCACTTAGCCTAGGCCTAAATCTGGAGTTTTGTGCTTCTAACACCATTGATCATTTTCTCTGTGATGCGTCTCCCCTCATAAAGATCGCTTGCTCAAATACTTGGTTCATGGAACAGACTGTTGTCATCTGTGCTGTGCTGACTCTCATTATGACACTGATGTGTGTAGTTCTGTCCTACATTTATATCATCAAAACAGTCCTAAAGTTCCCTTCTGCTCAGCAAAGGAAAAAGGCCTTTTCCACCTGCTCATCCCACATGATTGTAGTGTCCTTCACCTATGGCAGCTGCATCTTCATCTACATCAAGCCTTCAGCAAAAGATGAGGTGGCCATTAACAAGGGGGTAATGGTCCTCATGACCTCCATTGCCCCAATGCTGAATCCCTTCATTTATACACTGAGGAACAAGCAAGTCAAACAAGCTTTCAGCGACTCCATCAAAAGAATCATCATATTTACCAAGAACTAACAGAATGTTGAAGTTGAACCAACATGGAATGAACTTCCCAAGTTCCCAAGGGTCAACTTTTTCAAAACACTCTTACCCATCTAGGTCTAATGACATCTTCCCCACAACCCCCTCTGAAGATTTCCTTCCAAGCTGACTGTGATGGCTTGCTCTCACCTGTGAGCCTAGATACTCAGGAAGAGCAGATCAGAAAGATGACGACCACCATAGACCAGCACAGGCACAAATATTAGTGAGAATTCCATCTCAGAAAATAAATTGGACACAGTGACATATGGCTATTATCCCAAGTATGCAAGAGATCTGAGGTAGGAAGATCGTGATCCATTGAACCTTAGGCAAAAGTGCAAGAGCCTACTTAAAAACTAAACTTAAAGCCAAAAGGGCTGAAGGTATGGCTCAAGTGGCATCATTCATGTCTAACAGATGAGAGGTCCTGATTCAAAGCCTGGTACCACAACCACCAAAAATTAAAATGAAATCAATTTTTAAAATCACATAATAGCTATGTTAATATCTTTCAAAAATATAAGGCCTAGCTTCAATTGAAAATAAAAAGAGGCAAATATAAATAAATAAATAAAATCTAGCAAAATAAGAAGTAAATTGCCAATTACACTTTTAGCAACAAAAATAATATGATTGTCTCTTCTAAGCTGAGTACTACAGTCAAGCAAATTAACATATTTGTCATCTCAAAGGTTTTCTTCTTTTTTATTATTATTAATAAGTTTTTTATTGTGAAATGGTATACAGAGGGGTTACAATTACATAATCAAGGTAATGAGTACATTTCTTATCAAGCATTGTTGCCTCCTCCTTGGGGTTTTCTTCTTTGTATGAAGTAAAAGCATAAAATATTTCTTGTCAGTTTTTCAGTATAAAATACAATATTATAAGCTGTGTAGAGGCAAAGGTAAGGAGATTGCGAGTTTCAAGCTCCATTGAGCTTTTAACTTGTCTCAAAAATAGGTATATTGCTAGCATATTGTGCATCTTAAGAATAGGCAATAAAAATTTTAAATAACCAAAATACTTTTACTAATATGTGACTTACATGCCACAAAGTTGAAGTATAAATTATGATTGTCAATTACATGATTTTAGTAATATTCACAAAATTGTGTGTATCTCCATAATATAACTTTAGAACATTTTAATCACCCCAAAAGGAATATTGTACCTATTAACAATTCCATTTTTTATCTTTCCACATTTCTTCACAGCCAGAGGCAAACACTAATACCCTTTTTGCTTTTGTTGCTCAAAGGATACAGAGTTTCAGTTGGACAACAGAAAGAGGTTTTGACATCTACTGAACAGCAAGCTGACTATGCTCCAAGATAATGTCTTGCACATGACAAAATAGCTATGACAGTAAATGCAATTCTTTAAAAACCCCCCCAAAAAAGAATAAAGTGGTAACTTTACAATTTGGGGGGGGAGGATTGGGTAGAGGGGAGGGAGGATGGGAAGGGTAAACAAAGGAGGAAGCTACAATGCTTGATAAGAAATATACTCACTATCTTGCCCATGTAATTGTAACCCCTCTGTACAGTATTTTCACAATAAAAAAATAAAATAAAATAAATGAAATACAAAAAAAGAATAAAGTAGTTAATATATTACTTACCTTGATTTAATCATTCAAAATCACATGCATATATCAAAATTTATTCTGTACAAAATAATCATATGCAATAATTGTATGTTTTTATTAAAATTATTTCAACAAGAATATATGTATATAACTGGGTGCCGGTGGTTCATAACTATAATCCCAGCTACTAGAGGATGAGATCTGAGGATCATGATTCAAAGCCAGCCCAAGCAAGAAAACCATGAAACTCCTTTTTAAATATATTTTACTTATTGAAGAAATGATATACAGAGAAGTTACAGTTACATAAGCCAGGTAATGAGTACATTTCTTTTTGAACCATTTCACCCCTTCCCTCACTCTCTCCTAGTTTTTCCCCCCATCCCCACGCACAAGTTATATAGTTCACTTGCCACATAGTGTCTAGTAAGTACCACTGCTACACTTGTTTAGCCCTTGAATCTCTTATATCCAACTGACTATCGTAAAAAGTCAGACATGGAGTTGTAGCTCAAGTGATAGAGCACTCATGGTAGAGCACAAATGCTCATGGACAGCCTCAGGCCCAGAATTCAAATCTAAGGACCAGCAGAAAAAGAGAGGGAGAGAGAGAGGGGAGAGAGAGAGAGAGAGAGAATGAATGAATGTATATATAATAAATGAACTTCAAATATTCCTAGATTATTTGTAAAATAAATTTATTTAAAATATGATGTTTTTGTGAAGTAGAATCTGCTGTAATTCTGTTACAGGAAAAATTATAAGTCAAAAATGAAAAGCCAGGGCTGGGAAGGTGGCTCAGTGGTAGAGTGCCTGCCTTGCATGCATGAGGCCCTGGGTTCAATTCCTCAGCACCACATAAGTAGAAAAAGCTG